ATAGTTTTCTGGTGCAATTTTCTAATTTGACTTGCTAATGTATGCTTTAACGCATCGCGCATTGAAACATTTAATAAAGTAAACAAATAAATATTAAGCTTTTTGTAAATTTTGATACCGTTTAGATCATAATTGCTCTTTACTCATAATTACGGTTTCATATTTAATTTTATATTTCTGCATGCCATCTTACCAGATTTAAATTGATGATCTATAATCCGGAAAAACCGATAATCCGGAATCGCCGAAGTCCCGACGAGTCCGGATTAAAGACTTTTGACTGTAATATTACAAAACATTAATCATATATATATATTAAAGGCGGGCATATGCATAATTTCTGTTAGAGAAACAGTTTCTTCGAGATTACGTTTTAGAATAATTAAAACGCGAAATGATAAATTAATGCTGATATTATTACTGAATTCCAAAATTCGCAGTAATTAACAATGCTGTTTGGATCATTACTACGGAAAAGAAACGGGTTGAAAAAGAAAGAATCCTGATACACATGAACATTAAAAATTTGTGTGTTTACGTATAAAAATATATAATATTCTCATATAGGTCATTTAAGCATAGTCTTTGAATCAGTAACATTTCCAGAAATATTTCAGTTTTCATAATGTAAAGTAAAAGCAAATCTGCATTTGCACAGAATATTCATTGGCAGTTGCCTTTGAAAAAGGTTTCAATTCATTGAAGCGACCCGATTTAATCTGAATTTACTGATGAATTTAAGCTCCGACATTTCAAAAGGATTACGTAGGCATTTGATCAGCATTTCTCAAACGTCTGAGCAAAATCACTTCACATATCTTGTTTACAACCTCCTTGGTCGCAGTTTTTGAGGCAGGTCAGGAGTAAGGCTACTATAAAAAGGGTCTACTCTAGTATTATTACTATCTCTAGTAGCTCTAGTCAGGAGTAGCTGCAAAATTCCTCTATGGTAATGACGTATTTGCAAAAGGTGTGTCCGAAAAGCGTTGCACTTGGATTCGATTTTGCAATGCAAGAGCGGTTACCATGACAAGCGTTGCACTTGAATTCGCCCCTTAAGCGATAACTGCAGAAAGTGATCACTTTTGCAATTATATTTCATTCTCGCCTTAAGATATTTAAATGCGGAGATCAAGAGCCAGGTATTTTATTAAACTTCAAAATATTATGTCATTGCGACTCGTTTAACATCAACTTGTCAAAGAGTTGGTCATTGCTTTTTAAAAAGTACTGAATATTAATAATCATATTTTAACTGTAACTGTATCGCGCTGTTAAAAGAGAGGATACCGGTGCTGAAATTTATGAAGTTCGTTTTTCTGCAAATGGTAAATAAATTAGCAGTTATATCTTTGTACCTTTTAAATTTTGTATTATGATTTCGTTTTTTATCATTTATTGTATCTGAAGCATTTCCTTTTATGCAGAGTCGCGTTGTAAAGCCCTCCCGTACTTTCGCCATTTTCGCTTTTCGTGGATTATATAAATTTAGTGAAAGTTGTTTCTTTCATTAGAATTAGTAAGAGTATATAGCATATAACACCATCTTGTAATATGAACTTCTGATATTTTTAAGCCCGTGCTGATATGCTTTGACAGAAAATATGTAGGACAAGTGAACAAAAAAGTCTGTAAGCGTCAATTTCAGAACTAGTTATAAGATTACAGTTTAACGTTAACTGTAATTTTATAACTACTTCTGAAATATATAACTAGTTTCAGTTAACATTAACTGAAATAGTATAACTAGTTCTGAATAAGTAGTTTTTCTCATTCTTAATGTTATTTATTATGTGTACTTTTAATATGAAGGTTAATTATATCAAATATTTTTAAGCAGCTGTGCGGGCTTATAAATTCTTTTTGTGTTGAATCAGCATTTGTTGATATTTAGGTTCTTTTTTTTTTTCAGGCTGAAAAGAGACTCGTACAAAGATTATAAATTAAAAAGGCTTATCTTTGGAATATGGTAACAGGTAGTTTGGCGACATTTTGGTAAGGCGATAAAGGTTACTAGCTAGGACTTTAGCAATAATCTGAGAAGTACACAGTTCGAATCACGGATGATTTTGTCTCAGAGAAATGAGAGATCATGAGACATGTAATGTGACATTTTTTGAAAAATTCCGATCATGATTTTATCTGATAAGCACTTAGAAACAATTTCGCTGCTAAAGTGCAGAATTGCCCACTTATTTGTTTTAGCGCGTTTACAAGAGTAGGAAAAATTGGATTTTTGTCAATTTTCTTTGACTTTTTAAGTGAAAATAGGTGGATGTGCACATGAATAAAGTCAAGAGTGTGCGAAATGCCATTTTTGTGCAATTCTGGGATGTTTTTTTAAGTGAAAATAGATCGACGTGCACATGGATAATGTGTATGTGCAATTCTTAAAAACGCGGCAAGCAATGGTCGATTCTGCACTTTCTCCCAATTTCGCACCTAATCTTCGTCATGATTAAGCACTTTTGTTCCATAAAAGTTCTAGTATAAGCGTAATTTGGCTAGCAGATTGTTGGAAAAAATGTTGAGTAAAAAAAAAAAATGCCTTTATGTTGTGAAAACAAAATGGCGTCCAGAAAATAACTTGCAGGTTGCTGTAGCAGGGTTGGTCGCCAAAAAATCGCCAAGTTACCAGAATCCAAAGATTCACCATTAAAAAGACACTGGTAAAATCCTAGTATACGGTGCAGCCTTGGCGCAACTTTGAAAATTATCGCCAACACCAAAAATGATCCAAATAACGTCTCTCTCTCTCTCTCTATATATATATATATATACTATACACACATAGTATATATGCTATATACATAGCATATACTATGTTTAACTGTATATTTTCTTTGAATGACCCATTAACTACTCATCGTATATGTCCCGTTTTTACTGCTCATCATAAAGTAGCCAAATCCCGTGTGCACCGGATAATAGGATTAAACCAAGACACATAAAATGCATGCAGGGTAAACTAAATTAGGCGATGTAACGAGTTAGCTTTATTCGGTGGTATTCGATTATTGTTGTTACGTCTCGTCAAGGAATATGTATTGCTAACGGAGGAACAATTATTATTAGCTGAAGGGCTATTTGCTTTCCACACCATAAACCACAATCAAAGTTTCAAATCCCTTAATTGTACTTTACAAAGGATCAAAACATTGTACGACAAAAAATTTGCATATTCAAAAAAACTGAAGCAGTTATTTCTAATGTTTTGTCACTGTATTCGTTTTCACAATTTCAGAAAGAATTAGATAAATGTGCAGTTGTATCCATATATTATGATGCTTCAACCACAAAGATTTAAAGTTATTTCCTACAATTATTAGACTTTTTGATCCAGAAACAGGAATTTAAATTAGAATATTAGATTTTGTTTCATTGCCGGGCGAAACTTCATAAATAATTTTTGATTCAATATGTACTATTTTAAAAAAGAATAATTTGAACAATAAAATTATTACCTATTGTGAGGATAACACTAACGCAAGTTTTGGTGGAAAAGCTAGAAGAGGCATCAATTACGTTTTTACGAAACTTAAACGAACGTTTGAACAAAAATATTATTTGAGTAGGTTATGCAGCCCACATTCTGCACAATTCTATTCAAACAGCATCTGACTTCCAGTGGATGTTGGCAATATTATTAAAAACTTTTATTCGTAATTATATATATATACTGTACGTGTTGAAAGTTTGAAGGATTTTTGCGAAAGTGCAGAAATCGAATACAAAAGAATTATTGATTACAGCAAAACACGATGGCTAGCTCTTTACCAGCTGTAGAAAATATTTTTTAAATATACGAACCATTAAAAATCATACTTTTTATGACAAGATAAATGTCCAAGAAGATTGCAGTTCTTTTTTGAAAATGTCACATCACAAATTTGGCTTCAGTTCATCCACAACCAAGCTACATTATTTCACAATGCTGTGAAAATGATTAAAGTGGACAAATGAAATCAGTAATTTAAAAACAAAATAGTGAGAAAGAATTGATAACGATTAAGTTCCTTTAATTACCTAAGAAAGGGCATCACTAGGTTAAAAGAACAAGCTGCCATTAAATGACCTGATTTTCTGAAAGAAGTCAGTAATTTTAATAATAACTACATGGAATATGTTGAAGAACAGACAGTTCAATTTGAGGTTATTAAAAATTTTCATTGGGTGACATTAAAAAATTAGATTTTATGGGAATATGTGGAAAAATCTTTTTAATATATTAGTAACCATTTCCGAAGAATAATATTTGCGAAAATGATCTCTTTGATCAGGTGTCATAAAAAGGTACATTACTGAAAAAAAGCTAATTGTTGGTTGTCTGCAAAGGGGGCAACAGACACAAAATTGACGGAGTTATTCCTTCATTTTAAACAGAGTAATATTCCTTATGAAAATATTTTAAAATTGTAGAACACACGCTCTCCCTTCCAGGAACAAATGTAGCAACATAATGTGTTTTTTCTAGTATCGATAAAATATGGACAATTGAAAAAATGCAGTTGAACATTAGAACTTTAAATTCTGTATTAAGCTTAAACTATAATTTGACCAATTCATGTGAGAAATTTCACGACGTTTTAATAAATGATCCGAATCTATTGCAAAGTATTCACTCGGATAAAAAATGACTGTGAAAGAAAATCATAATTTTTTAAATTAGTTAAAAAACATAATATTCAAATTAGTTTTTTACAAATATTTTTACAGTTACCAATAGTTAATAATATATTTTGTATATTTATAGACAAGTATATGAATGTATACAATAAAATATTTTCTTTAATTATTGATCTTGCTTTCATAACTAAATTACAATTCTCATTTCATTCCATTTGTCTCAATGAAAATGTGGTCACTTTATCATAGATAGTATTTTATCAGTTCATTTAAAAATTTATTAAATAATGGTTAGATTGTCACTGTAAGAATAAAACTCCATGTGTCATCAATATGTTAATCTCCGGTCGCGGACACTTAACCGACAGGTCATTTAGCCGACAAGGACATTTAGCCGACACGGACATTTAGCCTACAGGATGTTTTGCCTGCGCAGAGTTAGCCGTCAGAACATTTAGCTATGGGACACTTAACTGTCAACACATTTAGTGGACAGGACACTAAGCCGACAGTGACGTTTAGCTGACACGTACCCAATAATTTTTCAAACTTACTGTCAATTACAAAATTTCTCGACTTCTTCATAAGTTCAATATTTAAGTTATTTTTTCCCTATCAGCAAAATTCATTTTTCGATTCTTAAAGATCTCATATGTACTTTAAATTATTGTGTTAATTTAGCATTGTTTGATATGTATCGTGCTGTGTTGTGTATATTGGCCAAATTGATAAAGCGCTGAAATTTCTCGTCAGGGAAGAATGAAATTTCAAAAGGAAAAAAGAGAATTTTTTTAGCTAAGTACGGTGGTCATTTAATTACATTTTAATGTGAGATCTTCAAAAATTATCCATAAAGCTTTTTCATTTAATCAACTGGGTTCTTTTGAACACTTACACTTCATTAATAATTTTTCTTGTTTACTTAATGATATTAATTTTCCAATCTCGCTCTTCCAGATGCTTTCAAATTTTTAATACCTTTACGTTTCATTACTATTTTACTCATCACATCATGTTACATTCTTTCCCTTGCAAAATCGTTTGGCTCCTCCCACTAATGAAATTTCCCTGTGATGAAAAATCTGAATAATGCAATAAAAATTGTTATTCTTGAATTATACTTTTTATAGAAACGCATGGTGGTGAGGGTTAGTTTAGCAAATATATTTTATTTTGCTATTAAAAACAATTTTAAAGAGTGAATTTTTAAGACAAGCAAAAGTATAAATTGTTTGTCACCTCTATAATTTGTAGTTCATGTCACCATTCTTGAGATAAAAATTTTATAACATTTTATTGACCACGCCTCTCTCTTAAAATACTTACTTAAATTAATGTTTATAGCCCTAAACTAGTGCATAATGTTTAATTTAGAAGTAAAATATTCTTTAAGGTTTTGTTTTATTCATAACTGAAGCTGCAGAAGGAGGGGGCCACAAACCATGTAGGGCGTCACATCGTATAAGTCGCTGTAATGTGATTCTATCTATCGATGTTAGATTTAGCTAGAACAGTCATGTAAATAGAAAATATTGTGTACTATGTTTTGAAAGTCGCAATGTGTAATTTTCAATATAATATGTTATATTAATGTTTCTTATAAAATATAACTTTTTGCAGTATCTATTAAAAATGTATAAATTTTCATTTCATTTTTCATTAATTTTATATTTCTTTCCCTCTTTCATTCCTTATCTTTCTC